AGAAAATCGAGCCGGAGGTGGATGCGTTCCTGCGGGAGCTGCGGGAGAGGGTGCACATCGGCGTGGTGGGAGGCTCCGACTACGCCAAGATCGCCGAGCAGCTGGGGGACGGGGATGAAGGTGAGGTGCGGCCGACGAGGTGTGTGTCACCCCGGGGGTCAGCTGTGCCCTGACTGTGACCCCAAGGCTGTTCCTGGGGGCTGGCCGTTCCCCCGGCGGGGAGCGGGCAGGGATGCTCCAGCCCACGCCGCCGGCGGGGTAGGACGGGCTTCCTCGTGGCTCCCACAAGCTTCACCCGCACCCATGGCAAATTTTGCCTCCCTGCAGCTCCACGGTGGGGTCTGCGGGGGGGTTCCTCAACGTGTTCGAACAGGGACGTGGGGCAGAGGAGGGCGAGGGGGCAGCCCCTGCTCCCCACACCTTGTGTCTCTTCTCTGGCATGGATGCTGAGCGTGGCCGTGCTCTGAGCTCTGCCTCCTTACCGGAGAGAGGCCAAGAATTCCGGGCTGAGGCTGAAATTCCCGGCCGAGGCTGATGGCGGAGTCAGCAGCGCTGTGTGTCCGGGGCTGGCGTTAGGTAACCGCTGCCTGCATCGCCCCAGCACCCTGGCAGCGGGCAGGGGAGGAGAGAGCGGAGGAGCACGCACGTGCTTGAAAGCCTGACATTTTGGAGCCCTTATCTTCGTGCTGCCACTGATTCGGCCCGTGACCTCGGTCAGGTCTCTTCCCATGGCGTGCGTCAGCTCCCATCCTGGGAGCCGAAGATAATCTCCTCGCTTGCTTTGTGGACAGCGAGGAGGGTCGGTGGCCCTTTGCAGAGCACAGGAGTCGTGGAAAGCGCGATACGAAGGAACAGGGAGGATGGCTAGCTCATTCCCGAACCCAGTCCTTTTGGCCCCCTTGGTAGTACTCACGTTTCCTCGTTTCCTTCCTCCCGCAGTCATCGATAAGTTTGACTACGTCTTCGCAGAGAACGGCACGGTGCAATACAAACACGGGCAGCTGGTCTCCAAGCAGGTGGGTCCAGCTCCCCTTGCAGCCATGGCTCTCCTTCCTGGTGCCCTGCGTGCCGTGAGGAGCAGTGCCTGGCCCTGGGCAGCCTCCTCTCCCCAGGTGCCAGATCTGCATGTCCCACTCCTCCAGTTCACGTTCTCGGGTGGGCTTCACGGGAGGTCTAGCATGCTCCTCACTCCCTGTTCTCCTACTGCAGGCCATTCAGGACCACCTGGGGGAAGAGCTGCTGCAGGATCTAATCAACTTCTGTCTCAACTACATGGCACTGCTGAAGCTGCCCAAGAAACGGTAATGGCCCAAGCCCATCCAAATGCCTGTCATATCACTGAATTCCAGGGAGCTCTGGGCTCCAGAGCTCTCCCAAGAACAGCTGAGCTACTGAGCTTGTCTTGGTCCAGGTTTTATCTTAGCATCGAGAGGCCCTGGCCCACCGAGCAGGGCACTGTGGGCAAATAATGGAGGAAGCTCTTTATTCTGGAGACTCTGCACTGGTTTTTAGCATAATGCGTGCTCTTTTACCCCTCGGATTTTCTTCCCTGGGAAGCAGGGTACAGCTGCTGCATGCATGAGGGTACAGCCGCTGCGTGCATCTCATTTAGGACAATGGTACCAGCTCGTTACTGGTCCGGGCATCAGGCATTGCTGGTCGTATGAGTTTCCAAACAGACAAACAATGGCTCTTAAGATGGGAAGTCCAGCTCCTGGGCACACAGTTTCACCCTGTTTCTAACCCAGTCACGTGGTAACAGGGCTGGCACTGCTCTGCCCCCGACCGCGTGTTTCTGTCTGCTTCCCGCCATGAGATCCAGCAGCTGCAGAGTGGGTTGGGTCAGTACAACTCCTCTGATGGAAGGCCAGGCCATTGCCAGGGTAGTTTTCCATTGGATTGGCTCGCCCTGTTATCACAGGAAGGAGTGAGAGGGAACAGATGGCATGAAGGTGGAAGGGGAGAGCACGAGGACCTTTTTGGGAGGCAGCCTGCAGTTAGACCAGCCTGGGTGTGGTGTCAAACCACCCCTCGGACCACTGTTTCACAAACACTTGAAGGTGGCGTGAGCCGTCAGGGCTGTTGAAAGCAGCAGCTTGGCCCTTCCCTCGCCCCGGCTGGTTTGTCCCCGCTCTCCCCTTGCGTGCGTGCCGTCAACCCCAGCGGGCGAGCTGTCTGCTCGAAGTTCAGCTGGTAAAAGTTGCTTAACCGTGATCTGCCTTCTGTGAGTCACCGTGTGGCAGTGTGAGGGCTGGTGTGGGGGGGGGCAGCGTGGCTCCCTGCGACAGGACTGCCAGCTGAACGTGCCCCCGAAAGCCTGGGCTGGGACCCAGAACCCTCAAGGCTGTTTGGTTGCCTCATTGCTCTCTGGTTGCCCAACAGCCTGGTGAAGTTTCAGCTCCCAAGTGGCTCTGTGGACTTAAGCTTATGGGATTTCTAGCAAAGCAAGGACTTTAACCCTCATCTCCCAAGCCTTGGCCTGTGTCAGGAGTCACCAAACCCTTGGTGGTGCAGAGGTGCAGCTCCCAGGCTGCAGGCATAGCTGCCCGTGTGTCCAATCCCCATGAGGTTCTTTGCTGTGTTACGAGGCAGGAGTTTTCCCTCAGACTCAGAGCAGTAAGCACTTCATCACGGAAAAACGGCTGGGAGGGACATCAGAGGGTTAATGAGCTTGGGGGAGGGGATCCCCCTGCTCCAGCTAGGTTCCCACCAGAGTTTCAATTCGTTTTCGAACTGGCAGTGCTGCCGTCCCCTGTTTCTGCCCCACCAGTGCTGGTACCTGTCTGACCCCTCGGTGAGAAGCAAACAGAACTGGCTGGGTTTACAGCCAAGAGAAAAGTGGTTTTCTGATGGCTTAGTGCTTTCAACCTGCCCACCTAGGAAGCGGCAGAGCAGTGATCGCGGTGCAGGGTGAGGGTGGCAAGCAGGAGCTGGGTCCTGTCCATGCAAGCTGAGATGAGAGCTGCGGTCAGAGGTGCAGGGGACAGATGGGAGACACAAAGGCTCTACGGGTCCTGCCTGATTTCGTGTTCCACAGGGAGGTCCTGATTGCTCAGCAGCAGTGAGTTACACTGACCTGTTCCATCCCACTGCCCCAACGTACCGCCAGCTTCACCCAACCCACCCAGTGTTTTTTAAAAGCCTCCAGGCATGGAGGTGCCACAGTCTCATCAGGCAGTTGGTCCATTCCAGGCAATGGCTGTCCTTGCAGTTATTACAAGCTGTCCTTGCAGTTATTACAACATCAGAAAATGTTTCCTATCATCTCACCTAAGCCTGTTGCTTCCAGCCTGGCCCCAGGGCACGCAGGAACCATTTATTACTTTTCTCTTACAGTCTCTTTTTATAAAACTATGAGCCCCTTGGAGATCTTAAGCAGAGTTACTGGTCACAGAATGGTTTGGGTTGGAAGGGCCCTAAAAGACCATCCAGTTCCAACCCCCCTGCCATGGGCAGGGACACCTTCCACTAGGGCAGGTTGCTCAAAGCCACATCCAGCCTGGCCTTGAACACTTCCAGGGATGGGGCATCCACAGCTTCTCTGGGCAACCTGTTCCAGTGCCTCACCACCCTCTCTGGGAAGAACTTCTTCCTGATATCCAATCTAAACCTCCCCACTTTCAATTTAAACCCGTTACCCCTTGTCCTGTCACTACAGGCCCTTGTAAAAAGTCCTCTCCCAGCTTCCTTGTAGCCCCTTCAGGTACTGGAAGGTGCTGTAAGGTCTCCCTGGAGCCTTCTCTTCTCCAGGCTGAACAGGCCCAACTCTCTCAGCCTGTCCCCATAGCAGAGGTGCTCCAGCCCTCTGAGCATCTTCATGGCCTCCTCTGGACTCGCTCCGACTGGTCAATAACCTTCTGATGTTGAGGGCCCCACAGCTGGATGCAGCACTCCAGATGGGGTCTCATGAGAGCAGAGTAGAGGGGGAGAATCCCCTCCTGATGCCTGTTCTCTGCCTGGTGTGAAGCACCCACGAGGGGCCATGGCTTCTCCCTTCCCGTGTGGCCCTGCAGAGGCTGCATATCTCACGGGGCAGCCATTCCCCTGGGAAGGTCTGGTTTTCTCTCCCTGCCCCAGTGACTTTGTTCCCTTGCCCTCCCCAGAGGAACCTTCATTGAGTTTCGCAACGGGATGCTGAACATCTCCCCCATCGGACGGAGCTGCACGCCGGAGGAGCGAATCGAGTTCTCCGAGCTGGACAAGGTAGACGGGCTGGACCAGGGCTCTCTCTCCCCTTTGCTGGTTTTGCACCACCGCAGATCTCAGGTCTTTCCTGCTTCTCCCACCCCGAGGAAGAAGGAGCCCGGCTGCAAGCTGGGCACCAGGCCAACACATGCAGGGAGGTGGAGACAGGACGGGGAGTCAGAAAACCCAAGGAGGGACACAGAGGAGTGTAAGGATCTGACTCCACTGGGAACCACCAATGCAGTGGGGTGGTCGGCAGGATTCCTTGTGCTGTGGGAGAGCCCCAGGGGACGAGGCGCTTATTTACCAGGTTGTTTCCTCATCTGCAGCAACCAAAGATGGCCCAGCAGCTTCTTCTCTCTCCCACTCTCCCAGCCCCAACAGAGCTGGAACTAATGGGCTTTCCAGATCTGCTGGGCAGATCTCTGGATCTCTTGGGCCGTGTTCACAGCAGTTTCAGCCTGGGAGAGATCAAGAGATCAGTCAGACCTTGCGAGACCTTTTAAGCAAAGCTAGAGACTTTGGGCTATGAACTGGGCTTCTGGGAAAGTGAAGCAGTTGCATTTCATTGCCAAGGAGGGGCTGAGATCTGCTCTTCCCAGGAGCCTGCTGGAGCTGCCCTGAGCTGGTGGCCTTTTACGGGGACCCTGGGCAGGACTGGTGAAAGCTGCCTGAATGGCATTACACTGGGGCCTGGGGCAGGTGGGGAGGGAGCAGAGCAATAAGCCAGGACTGCCCTGCAGACAGCTTACCGTGGACTGCTAGACTGTCAACATCTAATTATTCAAACCCTCTTTCCTTCCCTTTCCTCCTCCACAGAAAGAGCGGATCCGGGAGAAATTTGTGGCAGCCTTGCAGAGGGAGTTTGCTGGCAAAGGCCTGCGTTTCTCTCGAGGTGAGCGGAGGGGGCTTCCCGGCCTTTGCCTTGGCCTCTGTCATGTTTCCCATCAAATGCTGGGAAGGGGCGTGGAAATCCTGACTGCTCCCTCTGGGGGCCTGGAGACCATGGGAAGAGCCCAAGGAGCTTCTAGTCCTGGGGAGCCCCGCAAGGGTGTCACGTTCACAGCAGTGGCAGGGAGACAGCAGAGAATAAACCAGGATGCGGATTTGCCCCCCTGGGAATCAACCAGCCAAGCGGATGCCTGTCCCACGAGATTATCCCTGCCTTAGTGTCAGTCCCCCCTGCCCAAAGGTTCGTCCTGGCTCAAGTGGCTGCAGCAGGGTGGCCAGCAGAGCTCCGGGCATGGCCATTCCTCTCCAGGAATGAGATGGGAGCCTCATGCGTGTCTTGGCTCCTGGGTTTTCTTGGGAGGGTTGGCTACAAGGGAAACATCTTTCTTCCTCGAGGAAGAGCCGCTGAGAGGCACGGAGTTTGCAGCTCCATGCCGTAGGCTTTTGCAGGGCCACTTCTTGGGGTGGCTCTCGCAGCCAGCGTACCGAAGGCGAGGAAGCGAGGGAGGGGCTTGCGCAACCCTGGGGGGTCTGGCCAGGACGGGGAGGAAGATGAGGGTGTGTAAGTGGCTGGGCTGGTGCCGGAACAAGACCCCCTGCAGAGCAGACGGGGGTGTGTGTGAGATAAGAGGGTGCTGTGTGGCAGCCTGGCCAAAGGGCGAGGGGGTGACGAGGCTGGGGGGCTGCAGGTGACACCCCACTCTTGCACCCAGCGTAGGTCTGGCCCTCTGGTTCTCCAAGGGCTTTCCTTCCGAGGCCCTTCCCTTGTCTTCAGCACCCTGCCAGAGGGATCCTGCGCTGCCGGCAGCACTGACACGAACCGCTTGTCCCAGCAGAGAAGGACAAGGTCCCCGCCGCTGTGTCCCCCCGGCACGGGGGACGAGAGCAGAACAAGGGGCCTTTCTCCTGGCTTTGGAAAGCTGCCGTGAAGAGCCCGTTGTGTAAAAGCATGAGGACACGGGGAGCTGCGGGCCCCCCACTCCTCCACAAAGAAAACGCGGGGTGTCTCAGGTCAGGCATCCAAAACCAGGGACGCAGGAACGGGGCTCTTGTGCCAAGCTGGCTCCGCACGCCTTGTCCTGGGCTGTGGAGGACACAAGCCCCAGAGGGGGCAGGAGATCTCCCTGCGGCCCCCCAAACCTGCGCTTTTCCTGAGTGAGGGACAGTGCTGGCTGTCCTACACACCACCTCTTCTCCCTTTGATTCCCTTCCCTCTCCAGCTGGCGTCAGGAGCCCCTTCTTGTTGCCCAGCTCTGTTTAAAAGGCCAGAACGCACCAAAATGCAGCGTTTTTCACAGGTAAATGGCTTTGGGTACACCACCAGGAAGGGTTTTAGGGCAGGAGCTAAAATTGGCTGTCTCCAGTGGTGCTGGCTCCTGCTGCGAGCCTGGAGCCATCCCCATCCCTGAGCTGGTGGGGCGCTTGCTCCTGTCCCCATCCCAGTGCCCTGCCTGGGGCATCCTGCCCGTAGTCAATCATCTGCCCCGAGCTGGACACGCGGGCTCCGTCCCCGGCTCCTCAGGCTCTGAGGAGGGTTAAGCCAGGGAAGAGTGGTGCCTGGCTGCTGTTTGCAGGGGGGCTCCCCACACAGGTCCAGCCCTCTCCCCTCCTCCTGCCTGTCCCATGGCAGGGGGGGACGCACCCTGCTGGCTCCCACCAACGTGGGCCAATGCCCTCCCTTCCTCTGGCAGGTGGCATGATCAGCTTTGACGTCTTCCCGGAGGGCTGGGACAAGCGCTACTGCCTCAACGTGCTCGACGACGAGAGATTTGATACCATCCACTTCTTTGGGAACGAGACGACCCCTGTGAGTATGCCCCGCTCGCCCCACGACCCCCGTGAGTGTGCCCCGCTCGCCCCACGCACGACCGCTCCCGCTCCTTCGGCCTGGCAATCCCACGCGGAGCTGCTCCAGCACGGGTCCCACGGCCCGGGTCCTAC